GGCTATTATTCTTTAAAGTAAACACACAGCCTAAGTTCTATGGTATAATTTCTTACTATTTTTTGATCCACAAATGAAATTGACATTATGTTAGTTAAAACTGCTTTTGGATCATTTACGCAGGTCGGTAGTCGGCCGATAATCGCGTTGGCAACAACGGGTCCATTGTTCCTCGTAGTTTCGAGCCTTCTCTCTCTCTCTCTCTCTCTCTCTCTCTAAAAACGAGGTCTCTCTGACTGTTGATATAATCTTCCCACCGATGCGGTTGACGATCAAGTCCTAGCCCTTCTGTGATGATAATTAGCAGACTATCATCGCCAATCATCTTCAGTCAGTGAACCTAACAACGTGCCAACCACTTTCGAAGACACGTTCTTTCACTCCCGTCCACTACCTGACCGTCGATTTGGGGATTTTACGTGAGATTCTTCACATTATCATATGTCAAATAACTGGAAATCTTCGATCTTAGTGTGTGACAATGTTTCACAGCAACACAACATTTCCCGCATATGGTAAAATTGGATAGATGAGAACAGCTTCCATTCCCGCAGTTTCCGAGGATTAATTCTTTGATGGAATGGAATTCACTTCCGCTGGCTTTCTATTTCTGATATAAAACGATTAAATTATTATTAAAACTGTTCATGCAACGTTCATAATATTCTACTTTTACCGGTTCGTCCGCTTCAATGGGCTGATTAAATGAGAAGTCTATCAGAGATGAGCAAACAGCGATGAAAATCATTTATTATTAATGATGAGGTGGATCACAGAATACAATTTTAACTGTTAATTGGTTACATAAATTCATGCCTGTAACGGTTCAAAAAATCCAAACTTTTTTAATTCCAGACCAAAAAAATGCATTTTCAGATGTTTTTTTACAATACTTCACCAATGAAGTACTTCTAAAACTTAGCAAACATCAAAACTGCGAATCCTCAGAAACATCTGTTTCACAAAACCGAAAGTATGACTGCAAAGCGACAGGCGGCGTTCGCACCCAAAGGTCAAGTTTCAGCAACTTTCTTTATGAGTAATTTAATCCGTGGCTCATGTTTGTTATGATTTTCTCAATGTTTTTCGTTGTTTCGCTAAGTCTATCTTTTATAAAAGTGAAAATCTTTTACAGGAAGATACTTATAGGAAGGTAATTGACCATATGCTATTGCGCTATTGGAAACAGTGGACAGCTCGAATTTAGATTTCAATTGTAAGAAACCTCTTTCCGTTGAATTAACTCGTTGATCATGAGCTGATATTTCGCAAAGTCGCTAATTTGAAGTGTTCATTTAATGTTATATCGACTTTGCACTTTCTATAACTTTAGTAGATCACTGAGGTTCAAATTGAATTTCACTTAGCGCAAGAAGAAACTACAGTAAATAAGCTCTAGTTTTCAGGTATAATAACAAATACTGAACTGGGATTCAACAACCACTCAATAAAATTTATTACGGGGATTCACA